CACAATGCAAGTGCTTTACAAAAGGATGTGTCTGGGGAGATTCTGCCCAGTCAGAGATTTGCATTGGGGTATTTTGCAGCAGCAGTCAACTCCTCTTGGTGCATGGGAGGCATTTTGTCCCTTCACCACCCCACAGGATCATTCAGAGAGCTCCAGCTCAGTTTCAGCTGGAGGCTCAACCCTCTGGGTCACCTTTCTGTCCTGCTGCATCCTTTTGACTTTCCACCAGAAGAACTGCTCCTGAGGTGGGCAGCCAGTAAGGTGTAAAGGGGAGCTCCAAGCTTGCTTGACTTCTGGTCTTAGCCCCACTGAGCCAGCAGAGCTGGCGGGGACACCCCTGCAAGGTCCACTGACAGCAGCAAAGCAGTTAATACGGTTTTTCAGAGGCTAGCTCACAAGTCAGCAGTGCTGGCACCCTCTGCACCAGCCCTCTACTCAACAGCCTCAAGTGCCAAGTGAAGCTCAGGCTGTGCCTGCCCATTCCCCATGCAGGGCTGCCGGCCAAGGCAGATGAAGATGGCATGAATAACTCCACTCAAGCTACAGTTCAAGGAGGACTGGGCTGCCACCACAAGCTTAGAAACAACGGTTGTTAGAGGCAACGCAAAAACAATCAGATGCTGTAGATACTTCTTGGTTGCTTCTTTTCAACAGCATGCCCCAGAGACTGATGGACCCTCTTTGTCTGCAGCAAATATTGCCTGGCATTACCCAGGAGGGGCTGGATTTCAATGGGAGATGCGTGATTTAAGCAGAAGCAGGTTTCATGTGTGGGAAGGGCTTGACTTGCTTGACAAAAAAAAACAAACACCCTGCAACCACCTAATAAACAGACTGAAATTCCTACCAGAGCTTCTGCTGCATCAGCTGAATTACCATATGCTTTAGACAGCAGTGCTCCTCAAAGGACTAAATCCCTTATTAAAAGGAAGAAAAAAGGTGAGATGAAAAGAGGTGGATGTGGGCACACCGCGCACCTATGTTCTGGATGAGTAACTTGGGTCGGCAGAGACGAACCGGGAAGACGCACTGCATCATTAGCAGCGCTGGAGGACACGTGCCGTGGAGGGGAGGATGCCAGGGTCATGCTGTCATTGGAATCTCCATACAGGATCAAAGCTGTGGTCCACCTTGTTTCATGTCCCCTCACCACCACTGCCTAATAACAGGTATTTTACAAAAGCCTGGGAGAAGCAGGATGGTGGGTATTCATGGAGTAGTCATGGAATAATTTAGGTTGAATAGGATCTCAGGAGCTCATCTGGTCCAGCCTTCTCTCCCTTAAAGCAGAGCTAATGCCAACACTAGAACAGGTTGCTTTGTCATTCTGGTCACCAAATGACTTGTTGCCAGTCATCAGGAGGCTCAGAAATTATGTTCCCCATAACTCAGCATAAAGAAATGCTGCACAGAGAGCCCCTTTTGCAAAATGATACAGCACCATAAAGCGCTCTAGAGACACTCCTGAAGAACACAAGGTCTCTGCCCCAAGAGACCTGAAGGCTTGGTTTAAAAAAAAATGATAAAATGAAGGCAGACAAGTCATGCATGCACACATTGGGGTGAGCGAACAGGAACCACGAGGGCTTTCCACACACAGTAAACAACGTGGGAAAATGCGTAAGAGGAGTGGGAAAGAAAGAAGGAATCATGGAAGGATTCCTAGCCCCAGATAGGTTGCTGGGATGCTCTTAATTTAATTCAATGCAAAATGCATCATTTATTTCACCTTCATGCCACACAGTCCCTGCATTTCTGTGCTGTTAGCACTCCCTGCTTGCACTATGAGACTCTTCATGTGCTGGACCAAAGTCCAGTGAGCACCTCCAGGTTCTCCTCCAATCCCATCCTGGCTACTATAGCACCCACCTTCTGAAATCCTGATCCTTCCAAGGCATCACACAAACAAGTATGACCTGTCAGTTTTGGAAACTGGAGATCTAAAGAAGCACAAAACCCTACAGAAGCTCTGGGCAAAGGAAAGGAAGAAGCTCCCTTCACACCAAGCTAGATTACCATGTCCAGCTGTGTTTACAAAACCTCAGAGGAAAAGCCAAATAGCAGAGAGGTGGAGCAAGCTATCCTACAGGAGCCATTGGCACTCTATTGGCATAGGCTGCACGGGGCTCTGTCCCCAGTGTCCCATGGTCCCCCATCATGGCTCTCCCTTACTCTCACTCTCCTTGAAGTTTCTGAGAGCCAAAGGAGATTCTCAGATAGCACTGACCCAAAGGATAGGGGTAGAAAGTCTATAAACACCTTTGGTAAGAAGAAGGGATGAGACCGTTTTCCTTTCCATGACCTCATGCTAAAGAGGAGACAGTTCAGCCAGGCCAGAGCTTTGTATGTTCCACCGTGGTCTCAACTGCTGGTCTGCTTCTGTCAGAACATCTCTCCCATGGGGATGTGACACATGACACAGTCTTCCCCTCCATCAGAGGAGCAAGCAAAGCCACCAGGACATCACTAAGGTTCAATACACCACCCACTGTCCCTGTGGGAACCTGCACTGCCACTAATCACACCACAAGCTCTGCCTGGCTTTGAGGGCAGCCCCTGATACCACTAGTGTAGAGTATCTTGCACGGTCAGTTTTTACCCCCTTACATTCCCCTGGCTGTATCATAATCCTGCACACAAATTACACCCAGGTCTCCTGAGCAAGCCTGAGAAAATCTTGAGCAGAGAGCTTGTTTAGTTTCTTATCTGATGAATGCTCCCAGGCCACTCACCTCCCTTCCCCAAGCTTGTCCATAATTACATCAGGTGCCTCCTTCCCAGCCGGCATCAGGCGGGACAGGTGTATCTTCAGAGAAGAAACATAAAGCTTGAAAAACAGGTTTTAAAACCCAGAGGGCATGGGGATGCAGAGGAGCCCGTTGGATCTTTCCCCACGGAATGACGGCATTGCTGCTCCAGCTGCAGGAGCTCCTCTGCATAGCAGCAGGGAAAAGAGCAGGGTGAGACCCAGCTACTGTGCTTGGAGGACAGGGAGCACTTGTCTGTTTCTGCAGCCATCTCGCTCTTATCACTGCCATTAAACCAACAGCAGAGGGCAAAAAGGTCTACAAACTCTGCCAGTGCAACCTCCCCACTGTCCTACCAGGCAGGGAGGATGCAGCAGCCTCAAGCTCAATCTCTTTGTCACCTCCTTCGCTACAAGACTCAGTCTGCTGGAATTGTTTCAATATGATGGCAGCATCCTACAATCCTGCACCATAAATCAAGACTGCCAAGTGCCGGAGCACCTCTTTTTCCCCCTTCCATTCCTGATAGTGTTAACATGCTTTGCACCTGCCTGTACCCAGGGCTTTGGGAGCTAAGCTGTGCATGGGAGAAACTAACCTCTGATCCCTAAGAACAGCCTCACTTACAGGTGGAGAAATACAAAGAGGAAAAGCACCTACATAACACACTTCTTATCTCTTACATAGATTAAAGCAGCTGGTGCAGAGGTAAGAGGTAGGAATGGAGGGGGGACTCACTCATACTGATGTTAAGAGAAGTCATTTCAGAAATCCAGAGCCACAACAGGTTTCCAGTCTTTAGTGAGGTCTTTTGGGGGGGATGTGGCTGCAGGGGTAAAGCTAGTTTTCTCCCACCTCCCAGGATCCAATTTGGCAGTATGGGACAGGGAGTATGCAACGTCTTACCCAGCCTTTGGGGGTATTTTGGTAGTAATAGTGGCATTGCATTTAATTTTAGATGAATTTAAGCTCTCTAAAGGCAGACATCTCAGTGGCTTTCTCATCAAGGTGCGTGTCACCCAGCAAAAACATGTTCTGCAGACAAAGATGGTGCCATATTTGCAGGGATAATCTCCATGCAGAGCCCCCAGTGAATGTTCCTAAGGACTCTGGCCACTTTGCTCCGCTCTCCCAAGCATAGATGCAGCTAGATTTAAACAGCAGTGCTAGATCTAGGTTTTCCTTCCCTACACCCTGCGTTGACACAAGGCAGGGACAACTGGAAGCCATGGGGGTTATACCTGTTAGGTTAAAAGCCTTTTGGTGTGAGGTGCTGCTGTCTCAGCTTGGAGACCCTTTAGCCCAAGCTTTGTGCTGCTCAAGCATGTTGCTGACAGGCTGAGGGCAGGAATCTCTGCCTACTGCCATTGCAAAGAGGTATTTGGGCATTCATCTGCTGCTCATGCACCCAACTGTCCTCTCTGGGGTCAAGTGTTTGAACAGTCCTACATATCCAGTTCTGCCACCATGGCTGTGACAGGCAAAATTGGGGACAAGACACCTGCAAAGCCCTGGCAGGCATTTTAAATTCCCAAATACCTCTAGCTATGGCCAGGAAGGTTTTCTCGGTGCTGCAGCTTATTTCATTTTGGGAGCCGTTACAAGCAAAGCCAAAGTGAGCACAGGAACCCCCAACCAGACCCTGACAAACCCTGACAAACCTCTTCTGCAGAGAGAGTCCTCCTGGCACGGACACCCTCCGACAGCACGAGCAAACCCCATCTGACAGAGACAAGGCCAAACCCATAAGCACCAATTCCCATGCATCTAATCCTTCCGAAAACAAAGCTCTCCACAGCCACATTTAGGCGCGTAGGCAGCTGTGCCCCTATCCTTTCGCCTCAACGCAAGACGATGAGAAAGACAATGCAAGCAAATGTTAAACACCGCTCCACGGGCAAGCTGCTTTCAAGGTTAACATGGCCCCTGGACTGCCAGGCGCAATCTTCAGTGCTACCTGTTCAGGGTTTCTTGGGTACCCTGACCATCTCCCGTGAGGGCTCTGCCTTTATACCCCAAATCAGAGGGAGATTGAAACCTCTGTCAACTATTCCCAATGCATTTGTCATCACTAACTGCTTGGGATGGTCTCCTCCACACATGCTGCTGCAGCGCCCAGCTCCCACCAGAGAGCTGCTCATAACTACCACAATACGAAGGATAAATGCATCTGTGCCTAGAAAAATCCAAATATCCTTAACAGAACAGCACTGCACCGCGTCCTTCCTTCTAACGAAACCGCAAATTACTGACCTGTGCACAGAGCTCCCCCAATGCAAGCTGAAGCACTGACATCAGCTTTTGCTGTTGCTCAGGAATTTAATTCTGGGGGAGGAGAAAAGGGAGGGGGGAGCAGGAAGAAGAGGGAACTTATTTATCAATAAGGGAAATAACCAGGAATATTTAAAAACAACCAACACTCAGCACAGAAAGTGACATTTATCACTCGTAATAATTGCGAGGGGGGGATCAATCGGTCCATGCACATTAGGAGTGGTGGAGAGGATTATTTTAAACGGGCATCTTAACTCATTAATCGCTAGCAGTGCCTTTGGAGCTTCAGCAGTGAAGTGTTGCATGAAAACCCCCGCTGCTGAACACATGCCGGCTTCGTTTAAACGCCAAGGACACAGGGCGACACTCCAACCTCTTTCATCATCAGAAAAACCACAGCGCTGTTAACACCGACTCCTCAAACACCAGCCCTCAGCCCCCGAGAGAAAACCCCTCAGCCCGCGACCCCCGGCCTGGCAGGACAGCGCGCATTCCCCGCAGTTCCCCAAACCCCCTCCTCACCTGCATCACCGCAGCCAGGCAAGCGCACACCGCGAACGCAGGGTGGGATTTTCAACACCACCACCCCCCGAAAACAAGCGCAGCGCGCCCGACATGCGCGGCCGCGGAGAGCCAGCCCCCCCCTTCCCAATCCCCGCGGCGCAGCCCGCTGCAGGGCTGCTCCCTCCCCATCCCCAGCACCCCCCTTCATTTTTTTCCTTGCACCAGAATAATTCCACCCCCCCCTAAAACACCCAAACCCCTCTATCTATATACATTCTATGCACATCTATACGCGTACATGTGTAGGTGTATGTTTTCGCGCTATCCACGGACGCTGGGCGCGATGCCGGCTCCGCTCCGCACATGCGGGCGCGCTGCACCGCGCCCCCCCCGCTCCCTGCCCGTCCCCGTCCTCCCCCCTCTCCCCTCCCCGCGATCGCAAGGACATCGATAGGGGCTGCACTGACCCGGCGCGGCGGGCGCGGACGGCCGCGCCGCTCCGCGGGCTGTCCGCTGGCGCGGCGGCTGCCGGCGCCGCAGGGCCCGCATGCCGCGGCGGGCGGGGAAGGGATGGGGAGCGGGGGGGAGGGGGGGGGGGGGCCGCTCCGCGCTGCTCCGCGCTGCTCCGCGCCGCTCCGCCGGGAATGGGCCGGCGATGAGGTCATGCCTCGGGAACGGGGGAAGGGAAAAAAAAAAGAAGGGGAAAAAAGACAGCGTTGACGTCACCCGCAGCCAATCAGCGCGGGCGGCGCAGGGGCAGGGTGACGTCAGCCCCGCGGGCGCGGAGCGGCGCGCAGGGAGCGGGGATTGCGCATCCCCCCACACCGGCAGTGCGGAGCCCCTCGGGACTCGCTGCTGCTCGCCCCCCGCCGCGGACGGGCTGCGCGGTTGGCTCCCATGCCTGGAGGTTTTGTAGCTGCTGGAGAGTGTCCAGTGGAGGACCACAGAGATGAGCAGTAGTCTGGAGCATCTCTCTCATGAGGAGGGATTGCAGGAGCTGGGCCTGTTTAGTCTAGAGAAGAGGAGACTGAGGGGGGATCTCATTAGTGCATATAAATATCTCAAAGGTGGTTGCCAGGAGGATGGTGCCAGGCTCTTCTCAGTGGTTCCCAGTGACAGGGCAAGGTGCAATGGCCATAAACCAAAGAAGTTTCTCCTCAATATGAAGAACTTCTTTACATTGAGGGTGGCAGAGCACTGGAACAGACTGCCTAAGGAGGTTGTGGATTCTCCCTTCCTGGAGATATTCAAAACCCATCTGGATGTGTTCCTGTGTAACCTGCTCTAGGCGGCCCTGCCTCGGCAGAGTGGTGGGACTAGGTGATCTCCAGAGGTCCCTTCCAACCCTAATGACTGATTCTGGGTGATGCTCTCTTGCAAGGAGACAGATTACTCCACGGAAAGAGTGGCCTGGGCAGCAAAGGTTTTTTTTGGGGGTGACCCTCCTGGCTGCTGAGATTCCCAGGGGACACCTCCAGTGCCACACTGCTCCTGGCAGAAAATGCACTTTTGTGTATTTTTGGTTCATCAGTGGTTCCCAGGCTGCCCTTCTGGCCTTCTGCCCCTGGAGATGCGGGCAATGCTCAGCTTGGAGCTCTCCCGCAGGCAAGGCCACCCCTCCTGCCTGCAGTTCACCTGCCCTCTCTGCCCACCTAAAACACCCCACTGCTGAGCTCGGGCTGTAGGGTGGCTTCCAGGGCTGCATTGCAGGACCCACTCTCTCTGAAGTGCCCAAGCAGGTGAAAGACAGAGGTAAACATCTTGGAGGACTACATGGCAAAGAGTGGCCCAAAGGTTGGGAGCTGGGGAAGCCTGGCCCAAGGGTCAGCTCCTGGCTGGATAGAGTGAGCTCACCTCTATCCCTCTGCAGTGCCGCAGAATAGCCAAGCGGCTGGTCTGGCTAATGCAGCAGGGTTTTTCTGTCCTTGGCCCTAGCCTGGCAGCTCCAGTTTAGAGAGGGATTAGGGTTTAGAAGCTTAGGTTTTGCTGGTGCTTAGGAAATCAAGGGAACCTTCCTCCCTGCCGACACAGATGCTGGATGTTTTAAAATTAACTCTCATCTCCCCGGACACACAGCCAGCAACTTGCTCAAGAAGGGTGTTGAGCTCCCACAGTTACTGGCAGCAAAATCTCTCCCAGAAAGGTCATTTCTCGTGGAGCACCAGAGGTATAAAACCCTGGGATGCTAAAAAATCTCACTCTCCCCACTGCATAAGCAGAAAATCAGCTCACTCAAAGATGTCAGCAGGGAAAACTTTGCAAAATCAAGGCCACTGTACCAAAATGGCATGGATTTTCTACCCAGTTACCATAACCAGTGGCAAGATGTTGGGGTAGCGCAGGCGCTTGCTCCTTTAGCAGCTCTGGAGCACTTGGTCCTGGTGGGAGCAGGAACATTCCCAGCATGGCTGGAATGAAGCTGGAGTCTTTCCTCCATTCTGCCTTTCCTGCTGGTTTTCCTGCTCAGGTCCCTCCTCACAGCTGTACGAAGTGCCCCAGCTGGGATAAAACTGAGAAGGACTCCTCTTGCCTCAGCTTAGGGCTGTTTCCTTCCCTGCTCAACACTCCTTTTCAGGGGTAAAATATTAAAAAAGAAGGGCAAAGGAATGAGTTTCAAAATCCCAAAGCTTCCTCGTAAAAGCTGTTATCTAGGCAGAGAGCCACGAGCTCTTGAAGCCTGCTGAAGGGAGAGGATTTAAACAGTTTCTTTCCAAACCCCAGTTAAAATCAATGTTTCCAACCATGGGCCTGGCATGCTGCTGCCAGATGAGCATCCCAGATTGGCTCTTAAGAAGATTGCTCCCTGGCTGGACGGTGGCATAGTGCAAGGGAGGAGTGTGAGGAAGGAGATGGGAGCAGGATCCTGGGCTGGCTATAGGCAAGGGATGGGGAAGTGGTGAGGAAGAGGCAGAGGATGAGGTGTCTTGAGGGACTGCCAGACACCTGCCTTGGACTGTTCATTCCAGAAAGAGGCCAAGCTGAGCTGCCTCTTGAGCCTTCATCTCCAGCAACGTCTCCTCAGCCACCCATACAGTTCCCCTGGTGCATCACTCTGTGATGGGGACACAGGAGAGTCAATCCATACAAAATCCCTAATGGCAGCAAACAGGAGGAGATGTTCCATCAGGACTGGGGATCAGTGTGATGCGGTTCTCATGGCTGGCGGTAGCAACTCCAGCCCACGATCCCGGCATCTCTCCCATGCCTGGTGCATCTGCACAAGGACTCACTGCAGCCAAGTGCCTGGTGGGGAGAAACCAAAACAAATGATTCACTGCAGTTAAACTGCTCCCAGGATTGCAGGGGATGGGAGCAGGTGGTGAGGGAAGCTTGCAAAACCTCACCTGCCTCCCAGCGCTGGGAGCTAACCCTATTTAGATCCCAATCCTGCTCAACCTGAAATTCTGGCACCTGGGTGTGGACCTGTGGCTACACGGAAGAGGGCAGCCAGCCTGAGCACGGGCAGAGCGGGGAGGACCCGCGCTTGGCTCTGGGTGGCTCGGGCGCACTGACTGGGCGAGCAACATCTCTGTTTGCCCAAGGGGAAATTAAGCAGGGACAGCCAGGGTGATGCTGTTACGGTCAGGCAGGCAGAACAAAGCAGCCTCATGCTCTAAGCTCCTATCTACCAGATGTGAATCTATTGTCTCAGCCCCAGGGCCAGCATCCTCCCCCTCCCCATTACAACCATCATGAACCAACCAAAAAATTATGCAGCAAGTGGCTTACTGCTACAGGAAAGTGCTTTATTTCAGGTAAAGCACTTAAAAAATAATTTGCCCTACTCTGTTTTTTCCTTTCCCAGATTTTAGGCACATCCAAAGATGGATTGCATCCCAGCTACATGTTTCAAACGCAAGTTACGCTTGTACACGTAATAGTTCTTTTTAAAACGTTTTCCAGACCCTTAATTGCCGTGGCAGGCCAAGTGCAGAAGAGCACAGTGGAGCCTCCTGCATCCTACAGGGATTAAAATCGGAGCCTAATCATGAAGGAAACTGAAACTAGGAAAAAGGAATTGCTGTCAAACCAACTTTCTTACCCGTCACAAAGGACAAACTTTTTGCTAAACTGCAATTACTTTAAATGGCCAAATAATTTTGATATTTAACCCTGCCTGATGTTCAGATGCAGTTGCTTGAGCTACCAGCTGAGCCAGTCTCCTGTCAGCCTTGAGCTGGCAGCACTGGCTGTGGCACAGGGCACTATATTCTCACTGAAGAGGATGCTGGCACCTTGAAACTGTGCTGATGGCTGATCCCAGCATCGAGACTTGGGCTGACATGGCTCCACTTCCACCAAGTGCAGTTGTTTCTGCCATGCATGTGTCTGTCACCCTTGTAGTAGCATCCTGGAGTGGGGCATGGTGAGGATGGTGTTTACCAGTCTCTGTATCACCCTGTTTGTAAAGAAACCTATTGACTATGGTGAACTGTGCATCCCACCGAAGGAAGGGATCACTTCCCTCTTTGGCTCCTGTCCATGCAGTCTCTGGGAGGCAGGTTTCCAGCTGTCCCACCCCAATGGCTGGGATGGAGCCCAGCAGATTCCTGGTGAATCCCAGCATGCCACCTTCCCCCTGCAAAGCCCAAAATGATGTCACTCCATTAGTGAAGAGAGCTGACGTGCTTGAGCAGGCAAAAGGCACTTGCAGCATCATCAGGCAGCTGTGTTTTTCACAGAAGGGGCTGCCCTGGATCTGTCTCCATTTTCTCAACAGAAATACCTGCCTGTGCACAGTGTGGCTCAGCACTCACACAGAGCTGCAGGGCACAGAGCTGCGCGTGCATGTCGCAAAAGCAGCTACCATGCAATTAATTGCAGAAGTAGCAGGCTGGAGGGCTGCGTGCTGTGCCATTCAGCTCAGCACATGCTGCAGAAGCATTCATTCTGGGG